TGGGGATCCTGCAGACGCCTTGGTGCTGAGGACATACTGAATAGTGGGCTGTCCTACTTTTTCGTCTTGTCCTTGATTCTTTCTTCTAGAAATTACTTCCCTGTCTTATAGAGCTGTATCCAGACCTGAAGGAAGGACTGTTTTCTGTTTGATTGTTTTTATTTACAGTTAGATAGAACAGATTGTTTCTTTGTCTACCCTGATGTTTGCAACTTTGGAGAATTATCAAAACATCAGATCTAGCACAGCCAGTTATTCTTAATTTGATTACTTGGCAGTTTACTTTTGGGGGATTGATGCTCCATGACCCTTTTTAAGTAATTGGCTGGGCTAGCTCCTTAAGTCTATAAAACATATAAGAACTTTTCTGTGATTTAGCTGTAGAATATTTGATAACAGTGCATTTTTGGAATGCCTAAAGAACTCAGTGACTCAGACTTTATTTTCATAAGTTAATTGATGGAACCAGTATGCAGAATTTTCTGCCTTCATTATTTGTTGAGATGACCATGTTATATGTAGGAATAGATAGTAAGCAGTTTGTGGACTCCTTGAATCTAGGAACCAGATCTTAGGTTTTATTTGAATTCCTCTTCAATGCTAAGCCCTACATGCGATATTTGTTAATATCATATGAATAATGTCCTATGCTGGTGTTGGTCCTGATGAGTGAGGAGTTACTCACTGCATAGTAAAATACTGAGTTTTTCTTAAAAGCTGTTTTAAGTAAGTGGTAAGATTACTGGACATATTTTTTGTAAGAGAAATGTCATTTTGAGTTTCTATAACAAACTGACCCTCGCTAACAAAAATCTTCAGGTGACCTTTCCTATCTTCAATTTGTATTTGAATCTACATTTTACCTTTTTTTTTCTCTGTCTCTGGATTTTAATCCCTTTCTGTTTATTTAGTCTTTCAGTTTTCTCATGTTCCGATCCTCCCTTCCCCACTTATTATAGAGGGTTGGTGAGTTTGTAGCTGCTGCTGCTTTTTAAAATCTGTACTATATTATTACATCTATTTAAAAATAAAAAAGAAATTAGGGTAGTTTCCTGACATGCATTTTACCAAGAGTAGACATCTGTTCTGGAGGGACAGTCCACCTCGCTAACAGGACATTTAGGGCCTCTTTTTGCTATGTATAGTCATGTTGAAATAATTATGATGTTCCAGTATGGGATAGAGGAAGGTGAGAAGGCTCAAAGTGATTGACAGGTCTCACCAGAAATGGTGGGAGTGGCTGAAATGACCGGAGTCTGAAGTGATGTCCAGGCCAATCCTAGAGCTGACTGTCTGGTCTGCAGTAGCTACTTGTGTGTCTGTAATGCAGTCAGTCTTCTAAAATCATGTCTATTGCATGTGGTGTAACCACAGGCCTAGCCATTGGCTTCATGGTTCAAACATTTTCATTCATAGAGAACATTTCATTTTGAAAATGTGGAATGGTGCTTTGAGGCAGTTGCCAAAATAGCATAAATTTCCTTTAGGGCAACTCCCTTATGTTGTAAGGGAATAATGTAGGACCTTTTATTCTAAATTCTGTATAAGAATTCCCAAATAGTTGCCAGAGCTATTAACTATGATCACTTTAAAAGCTTACATCAAAATAAACATGAAAGGATGAAAAGAAAGTGAACAGCATGGCAGTTATTTTTCAACATGTTCTTTAAGCTCATCCTAATGCTTCTTTGATGATTTCTTAGATTGGAATATAGTCTATTAATTTAAAAAAAAACTTGTCTGAATGGATTAAGAAATACCTAAGGTGTTTCCATTTTTGCTCAAATTGATAGAATTTTCTTCATACTACTTGAAACTATTTTTGAAGAGCTACTGTGTTGTCATGAATTTCATTGTTTCATGGAATGTTTCATTTTTTCCTTTTTTTTTTTTTTCCTTTCCTAGACATTAGCTATGGTAGTTAAGATAGAAAAGGAGAAAAGTGGGGCATGCTTGTGGCATTTTGGCACTGTAGGGAGAATCTACATCAACTGTAGTTACAAATGATAAGAATTTAATTATGTCAGGAATTAGAAGGGTGGGTCTTAGGTACATTCCTTGTGGTTTTCCCTTAAGTCCACTTCTCTAATGCCCACAAACTAATATTTTTCCCCTCTACATGCTGTCACTAAACTTGGATTACTACTGACCCCTTTCTCCATTACTGCATTTTACATGGTTGCTGGGGGGAAAAATCTGTTATAAAATTAACTGCACTGACCCTCCCTCGGGGATGTGCTGCTCTGACAGTTTCTCTCCTTAGCAGTCATTCTAAACCTTTTCCACACCCTTCCTTCTTCCACAGTCATTTTATTCCACTCCAGAGATGATTTTGCGTTCTGCTTTTTTTAAGATAAGTGTGGCTTCATTCGGTTATTTTCTTTTCTCTTCTCTTTACAAAATTACTATCTCAGGATTTTTTTGAGCTATTGTTTCCTCTCATTCGCTCATCATTTTTTCAGACCTTGTGTCCTCTGGTTTCCAAAGCTGACGCTTTCCCATGAGCCTGTACCTCCTCCTGACCTCATCACCTCTCTCCTGTCATGAACTTAGTTAGCTGCTTTTTCTTAAACACATGCCTGCGTTTCCTTAACCTTCAAAACCAAACCCATATAAAATTCTTCAGACTCTTTCTTCTTTTCTGCCCGCCTCAGAATCTGGGGAAATTCTAAATATAATCAGTTTTCTTCTAAGGAGATAAGGAAGGCTGATACGTGAGCACCCTAGGATTTTGGTCACGTTTCCTTCCACCTATGTTTTCTCATTATTGTGGTGCGACTGCCTTCTCTACTGCTTGTAAAACTGTATTCTGAAAAACCTCAGAGGATATTTAGTAACTAACATAATACAGTAGTGTCCTAATCCTAAACCTTTGTTCATGCCTTCCTTCCTAAAACTGATCATTTCACTTTCTTAAAAAAAAAAAAAAAAAAAAAAAAATTTTTTTTTTTTAAATTTCATTTCATTTCAAGTTCCAGGATACAGAAAAAAACCCAAAAAACAAACAAAAAAAAAAACCGTATTTTCTTGACTTACTTTTTGTTTTACTGTTACTTAGGGGCTCCTGTGTTAACTGTTTTCAGTGGTATACTTTCTTCACGTCTGTATACTTTTCTTCAGAGACTGAATGTAATAATTGTTGATAAATTATTAGCTTGGTTCTTATGTCAAAAATAGTGAAAAATTATTGGCTGTTTTTAAGCACGTCCTCATGCTTTCAGAAAAGGTAGCACGAGATGATACTTTGGAGTTTTATATGGTGCACTGCACTTCGTTCATTTGTATCACTGTAAGGATTTATACCCAAACCAAAAAAGTTTGAAATAAAGTATAGCGCTGTTTATTTTTATATGTTTTACTAATCTGATGCTAATCTAATATTTAGGCTTATTCATGGCAAAAGTTAACTCTAGTCTTTTCATCCATATAGCTCTTTTTACCTAGAACATAATGGTGGGGGTAGGGAGAGGGCAGTCTGGGTTTCCTCACTTTATTTTTTAATAGGAAAATCTGGATCTGCCGTGGGAGAACATGCAGGAGTCAGGATGGGGACATAGCAGTACAAGAAGCATATTTTAATGTTTTATGCTAATTTGTTTTACATATTGGATATTGCTCATATATTTAAAAGTAGATATTACAGTAATAGTTTTGGTATTCTGAAATAATCTTCAGTGGAGAGTGATTAGAAATAGCACTCAGTATTACAGGGTGATACGCTGTTTTTGACAGAGTGTAGGAAATAATCAAGTTTTGTCTGTGAAAAATAATTGTTAAGCACATGGGAATAAGTACTGATTACTTATGCTTATCTTTGTATTTCATGTAATTGGACAAATATAACCATAGTCGCTTGTTTCCATTTTTATGTTGTCAGTGGTAAGAGATACTAATACATTTTTGAAGAATAGTGATATTTCAACCAAAATAAATGACTATTCTTAAATGGTTGACCTCATTTGATAGACACAAATTGCTATGAATAGAGAAAGGGGAGGTTTGAACGATATGGTAGTGCAAACATCTCACACTGAAAGTAGAAATTTTGAGAAACATACCAAGTGGGTTTTACAGTTTGCTGCTGGAAAAATGTCAGATGGCTTTGGGGACTTTCTTGTGACCACACCTTCGTTCTTTAGTGACTGGTTATGCATGGACTTACCCCACTTCCTGAGGAGATGAACACTAAACATTGCACCTGCACCCCTAATGTGCCTAAGAAATGGATCGGCAACTTGGAACGAAATTTTGCAAAGTTTGCCAATACATGAGCATAAACTAGCCTTTGTGTGACTGAGAGAGAGAACTGGGAAGACCAATTCAGTCGGATACTAAGTACAGCCTGGTTGGAATAAGAGTTAGAGGTATATCGTTAGAGATTCAAAAATAAATCCATTATCAGAACTTTCATTTGCCAAGAGAGGAAATAGAAAGCTATTGCCACGTTTTGAGAGTGAAAAAGTACTATGTGTGTATGTAATACTGCCATTCTTAACTTGCTCATATAATTTTTGTTAAAAGAAAATTTGAGCTGATAGAGCAGTGATTGTTCAGACAGTAAAGATGGAAACTCTATCAAAATATGCTGTCCTTTTTTGGATTATAAATGTAATTGAATAGTGAAGTAAAGTCCTTGGTCCTTCACTCCAGTACTTTCAATTGCTCATCTGTGACCCAAACAGAAGTCCACCACTGAGTAGGAAATGCCATTTCCAGTGGCAATTAAGTATTTCTAATGCCACCAATTCTTAAAGATTTAAGCCAAACCGTGAAGTTGATTAAATCCTAAATCATAGGCTGATTATAATGCATTTATCTGTTAAAGATAGTAAAGGAAGGCTTTAAAGTGACACATAAGAGATACTGGAGTATTTTTTAATGGTGACTATAAGTAACTTGTTTTATAGTGACATTGATTTTAACTATTTTTTAGACACTTTTTTTTAATTCCCTTAATATTTTTTATTTATAACTTATTTTTGTCTTGTAAATATCAACAGAAGGATCCAGTGGGGTAGCCAAGAGAAAAACTAAGGCTAAAGGTATTTTCTTTTTTTCAAATTAGCTTTGAGTGAACCAAGTTTAATGTTTGAAAATGCATGACATTTTCTGGGAATGTTAAGGTAGCTACTAATGCTAAACATTATTGCTTTTGGGTCTTGCTTGGGTAGACCTTAGGTTGTAAGTACTTGTATCAAGACTTCATCAAAAAATGTTCTGCTGCAAGCATATCATTTTAAGTCATTATCTTTTCATGTTATCAAAGCTTTGTAATAGTCTTTAAATTAAGAATGTATATATTATGGCAATATCACATTATATTTGTTATGATATATATATATATATATATTAAATTTACACATACACATCTTACCTTGTTTCCTAAAAGCTTTATTAGTTTGACATTTTGAATTACTGTTGGAAAAGATGAAGTCTTCAGCATTGGTTTTGTTTCTCCAAAAGCTCTTATGACACTCTGTCTTAGAGCACAGTAAGAGCTAGTGTGATCCAAATGTATAGTTTGCAGTAAAATGAAAACTTAGATGTATAATGTAGAACCCTGCATTATATTGACATAGAATTTGCTGTGTTTGATATTTTAATTCATTAAAAATTTTTATACCTGTCAACCATTTGTAGACTAACAGCTCAGTATTACAGCTTGACTTTATATGCCAATGGTTATTCTAGTTTACATGTTAGTGATCATATTCTTTGTGGGGAGAGGCATGGGGGATGTGCATGTTTTTCTTTATAAGCTTGTGATATTCTTGTAATCATTTGAAGCGCTTGGCATACTGTTTGTAGTTTTTTTTGGTGAAATATGAACAGATGAGACTATGTGATTCATAGGGTTTTGTGATTTATATTTTGAGATCAGGAACTTTTATATTTTATTTTATTGTATTTTATTTTTGAGACAGAGTTTTGCTCTTGTCACCCAGGCTGGAGTGCATTGGCACAATCTCGGCTCAACACAACCTCTGCCTCCTGGGTTCAAGCGATTCTCCTGCTTCAGCGTCCCAAGTAGCTGGGATTACAGGCATATGCCACCATGCCTGGTTAATTTTTGTATTTTTAATAGAGACAGAGTTTCTCCATGTTGGTCAGGCTGGTCTCAAACTCTCGACCTCAGGTGATCTGCCCGCCTCCGCCTCCCAAAGTGCTGGGATTACAGGTGTGAGCCACCATGCCTGGCCAGAGAGGAACTTTTAATGGTTTAACCTTTCCCACCTGAGTAATTTCTGAGGATGAAAACAATTTTCACCATCTTATTTTTACATAAATAACGATGAAACAAATTGACAATAAAATATTTTACTTCTTGATCTAGAGAAGCAAATTAAACATTAAAGACTGAATTTTTAAAAAGCAGTGTGCAGACTAAGACAAGCATTGCACGTGCATTATACTCTTTTTGCAATGCCAGCATCTATGTTACTATACAAACAGCATTGAAATAGAATGAAGACTTAGAGCATGACGCTGAATGAATACTATTCTGTATTCTTAGAAGACTTTAATAAGATTTTTTAGGAAGAACTGAAGAATCTCCTGGTTGATCACTAGGAAATTCAATTAATGGAGAAAGCCTATGTGATATTTTAATCTGTTAATCAAGATTTTATTAGACAGCCTAGAAAGATAGAGTACTTTTAGTGAGTGCTACACATCTGATGCTCATTTTGAACATTATTTGTGCTATATAAGTTTTACATGATTTTGATGGGCAAAAACATCTTCCACATTTTATTATATTAAAGAAATATTTCATTTTCTTTGTTTCTGCTTAAATGTGGTAATGTAAACACCTTATGATTTCCTTATGAGAGTTCAAACGGATGAAATTCAGAGCTTTTGCTGACTGCTTTATTAAACTTTACGTGAAGCAAGTTGAAAGCAATACCTTCCATGAGATTTGGAATTAGCTGTGTGTTTCATTTAATTGCTCTGACAACCCTATGAACAAAGAAGATGAGTGTTAGCTTGAGTGGCTCTACATAAATTAACAGGGAAACATACTTAAAGAAATACTGATTTCATAATACATAAAAGCAAAAAGGGAATTCTAATTTGTCCTTTTAAATACTATAGATAATGATTGAAAAATTTCATATACATGAGAATTTTTGCCTAGTAAACTAAGAAAATGAAATTATATTTAATATTATTTACATACATTTGTCTTCAAAGAAGCACATGTATTTTAAGGAGATACTTTTTTGAGCTAAACATTTTAAATTATCTTTGTATACGTTTTTACACATTATGAAAAATTTGTTCTTACGTTGCCAGTATTCCTTTAATTATGTCATTATAGTTACGAAGTGTGAGTTAATACTTCATGTAAAGTACTGCCTTCATGGTGCACTCAGTTTTATAATAGTGCATGCTAATGTTTAAGGCAAGCCATGCTGTATTTCAAGGTGGAAAAGTTGCAAGCTTCTATCATTGTTTAATAGTTGATATTTTATAGAGGTTTGTATCTATTTTTAACCACTATAAAGACTAGTGAATTAAAGTAACTTTCGGAATGTGCATTTCCTGTGTGTGAAGAGATAAAAAGAGAATACCTTTTCACTAACTTCCTGTTCTGTGATTAAGAGATCCTATCAATAAACCTTTTTTCCTTTAATTGGAAAATCTAAAAGTTAAAGAACTCACTAAAGAAGAGCTCAAGAAGGGAAAAGAGAAACCTGAGTCAAGGAAGGAAAGTAAGAACGAAGAGAGAAAAAAGGGGAAGAAAGAAAAAGAGGATGATGGAAAGGATAAGAAGATTGCTGATGCAGACCTCTCCAGGAAGGAGTCTCCTAAGGGTAAAAAGGACAGAGAAAAAGACAAAGTGGACCTAGAAAAAAGTGCTAAAACCAAGGAAAATAGGAAAAAATCAACAAATATCAAAGAAGTTTCTAGTAAAATGGCATCCAGAGACAGAGATGACAGAAAGGAAAGTAGAAGTTCTACCAGATATGCACACTTAACAAAGGGAAATAACCAGAAAAACTAAAGCTCTGGCATCATCATCCCAGAACACGGTCATGTTCCAGATGACAATTTGTTGTGGAAAAGCATGGAAAATGTAGTATTGCTCTGGTCGGTGAAGGTGTGTAAATTAGCCATTGAATGTATTATTGGTGCTGAGCAAGTAAATTATCTGAAATTTAAATATACCGTCTCAGGCTTCTAAACATAAAAACATTTTGAAAATATGTCACAGAATATGATGTAATAACTTCTATTTATTGATCATGTATTCAGGCAAATGTATATGTATCATGAATTTTTATGTATTATATTGAATACTTTCATTGACATTAAATAAGAATATTAAGATTTTAAATATTATTTTCTGTGCAGAATATCTTGTAACTTTTTCAGATGTGCTAAATACTCAGGGAGATAGGATTTGCCCTTTGTTGTCTCCCTCCTTTTCCTTCCTGCTTCCCTGTTTTTTTGCAGGCACCTCCCCAGACTCATGTGCCACCTCCTTCCCTGAGTTCCTCCCTTCAGGCTTTTCACAGGTTCTCCTTACTCTTTTCCCTCTCTCTCTCCTTTTCTACTTAACCTTCCGCAGTCTTTTGCTCTCTCGTTTCCTTCGCTCCTCACCTCACCCCTGCCCCTCACCTCACCCCTGCCCCTCACTCCTGCATACTTCTCACTCCTGACCTCCCTACAACCACCCCACCTTTCTGTCATCCGACACATACTTGGTGCCTACCGTATGCCACGTACACTGCTCGGGGAACTCTGGCCATAGCCATGAATAAAAGGGAGAATTATATTTAGAAGAAAAAGCTCAGAACACTTTTATTTATGATACCTTTGTACTCTTAGACTAACTATAGAAAGGTTTTAATTATTTCAGATTAGGATGTACTTTCATTTTTTATCACAGTTTTCCATTATTTTGGTTGAATGGCATACATTTTTCATATTTGATTGCATCATTATTTACCATTTCTAAGGAATTGCAAATGTAATCTCTAACTAGAGGTCAGAATTTAACATCTTAGAAAATATTTAATAAAGTGAAGTTTTAGTGAGATACAGTTCTACAAATGGTTTGTACTATTCTGTGCCTCAAATATTATGTATCTAATTGTGACTACTGTGAAATGCAGTTAGTTGATAATGATACATTGTTGTGTAGCATTTTTGATTCTGTTATTGTTAACCTTATTTGTTAACAACAGAATCAAAAATGCTACTACAAAGATTTTATTTTTAAATAAATTTTTAATAATAGAATCAAAAATCCTACCCCAAAGATTTTATTTTTAAGAAAAGATTTATTTACTTTTTTATGAAGATCTTAAAAATAGAGGCTTTTGGCTTAAAGATATTTCAACTCAGAAATGAGGACACGTAAGTGTAAATATTTCTAAATGGATTGTACATCTTTTTCTTATGTTAACGCCTTTTACTATTTAAAGTCAAATACTTTACAACATTTAATTGACAGAAATTTCAAGTTAATAGAATTATATAACAGATGAAATACTAGAGAATAGCTAATATCTCTAATATAATCCTGTTTTTTACTGCTTAAAAGCTAAGGGCTGAAGATATTATAATGTGATAACTTGGAGTTTTATGTTTTGATTAGTCAGGATTTTGCCATTTTTTATAGATTACAACAACATAGTAAACCAAAAAGGGAATTTTACGGCTGCTTTGTTTGGCAGATACAGGAAACTAACTTCAGATGACTAGATACCACATCCAGACCTGGAATCAGAGCTCTTTTTCTTCTTAGCTCACTCTGCAGGCCTTAACTGTGCTAGTTTCTGCCTGACTTACTCTATTTGGAGATCCTACCACTTGATAACCAAGATGGCCCTAGGCAGGCTCCAGACCAGTCTTTCCAGTTTACCAAGCCCAGTGCAGATGCCTCTGGGAGAGAGAATTCCAGGTGGCCTGGTTAAGCCTGGTGAACATCTGGGACCATTTTTGTAGTTGAGGATGGTGAATCTTCCCAGGTGCACACCTGTGCACAAAGCTTTGGAGTGGGAGTTGAGTGGGTCCCACCCAGACTCCATCAAACGTAGGGCATCTGGGACAAGAAAGTGAGGCTTTGAGAACTGGACGGAACCAGAAGCAGGAACATGTCCCCCAGGCTTATGAAAGTTGTGTGATTCTCAAACCATATCTTGGTGTTAGATCTTTCTCCTAAGATAAATGGAGTGGTTTTTTTTTTTATCTTTTCTCCTAAGATAAATGGAATGTATAAAATTTTAAGTGCTGTCTTCTCTAAAGATTGTTTGTTCTCCCTTGAAGAAGGGCAAACAATTATAAGTGAATTTGTTGAAGCATCCTAGCAATTTTTACCTTAGTTTTTAAGTTCAATGGCTATGGGGCAGAAAATGCATAAATACTAAATTCTAAATAATGAGTGAAAATATTTTTGGAATAAGCTGATCATCATAAGCACATAAGAATTGTCTATTGCTATTTAGTAAAGTACTTCGGAATGTTTTGGCTATATCGTTGATTTCTTCTTTGAGTGTTAGCTCAAGAATTGAAACACCTCAGCTAAACATTTAAAGATCTTTAAAAGCACTTGTACACTAGAACTTGATTTATTTTTTCCTTCTCTCTTCTTTCCTTCTTTTGTTTCTTTCTCTTTTCTTTCTTTTTGTAACTGTTTCAACTGACTTATTGATGTTAGAGTCACACTTTATCCAACTGCATTAGTAATTAAGCTTCAGCTAAATCGAAACCAGCTCTGAGTGGTGGTTAGTGGGTTAAAACCATGTTTGGCACTCTCACTTTTACATTTTGTATTGAATAGGTTGTTATTTCTGTATCGTTTGCTTCATATTGTTTTCCAAGTTTAATTAAAACCAGAAAGGTTGCCTTTTTAAATAAGCCAGTTGCATCAGGGACAAAAAATTCATAATAAGTAGCTGGGAGTCAGATGTTGTTTTCGGGAAGACTTGAAAAGGGAAAATTAGGTAGTGAAAATGTAAGTTTATTTTGCCATATCCGTAACAACAATTGATTTAAATATTATGATATGATACTTACAAATCTTTTGAATGATATTTTGGCATGTTTTTCCTTAAACTTTGTAAGGTAACATTTCACATTTTCATAGCATAGTCTTTGTTAAGGTAGTCAATTTTTTGAAAATATTTGAGTGCCAATCAATTTTTCCAAGGATCTTCTATCCTTTAGTATTCAGATACTTCCTTTTGAAGCACTTCCATCATCCTTGAATTTTTTCTTCATTTTTTGTGTTATTTAGTTTCTGTTTTATTTCCTAATGGCTTTGTATGTGAATGAATTTTAGTTATTCCTAACATCATTGGTAGTCATTTTTTTGAATTTTTTTTAAGCAAGATTTTCAGTTTTACCGTCTGGGTGATTTGCATTGTGTATAGATGATCCTCTCAAAGTTTCACATTGAGAGAGAGACTGATGAAGAAATTGATATAAATCAATCAGCATGAACACTATCCAGGGGAGGACTTGAGTTAATTCTATAGGTGATTGCTTTATTGAGAATATTTTGTATTATGACCCGCTTAGCTATGCAAGTTTGTAACTTCAGAGGTTCTCATAATGATACGTGGATAATAAAGATTCTCCATAGACACTTGATTGAAAAAACAGGGAGTAAAGAAGAATCATATTTTATTTCAAATGGGTCTGGTGACTTAGGCTATATCCCCTGACACTGATTTCTTTTTCCTATGTCCTCAATTGTTTCCTCTCCTGTTAATGCCCATGGGTAATAATTCTCAAAACTGATTGCTCAGAATGTTTCATTGTAAAATGCATCTTGGTTGTTTTCCTCATTTGTAAATTGAAGGCAATGCTGTTCCTCAGCGTGGTTGTGGGAAGTAGCTGGCGTTGCATATGTGTAAACAGCAGCCACGTTGTTCGGCATTCGCTGTCCCTTTTTCATGGGTATGATGATAATAGTAATAATTCAGCCAAGATGTCTCAGTCGGGTTCAAAACTTGGAAGCATTGAAACCGATTCCTTTTCCAACTTTGGCCAACAGATTGCAAAACAAATACTTAAGTCATTTATCCTTTGTAGTGAATGTGTCTTTGTGAAATGAGTATATTGGAGCCTGATTTATTCTGCTGAGATCATTGAGGGGGCAAATGCAAATAATTATAAATGCTATACATGTGTGAAGCCATAAGAATGCCTAGTTTTTAAAAGAATATTGTGACAATATAAAAATGCAAGATATAAAGGCTAGAAAAAAGTTATGAAATAAACTGTAATATTAAGTATATAGTATAAGCAATAAGCCCAATGATCAGCCTAATTGTGGAAAATGTAGTTTGTTTTTTATTCAGAGCACATTTTTCCCATAGATATGATTTTATGGTCTTCAGAGATTTTTTTTTCTTTTACTCTGGCACACACAAATTTACTTAATTCTAATATCCTGTTCTTCACGTCTTACTGTAACTATGTTTCTATGTAAAATGAATTTATCATTCTTCCTTTGGATATTAGGAATATATTTAATTTTACTTCTGAATGTTCTCCAGAATTTCTTCGGTTACGTCCATGGTATTAAATTCATTCAGATAGCTTACATGGACAAAAAACCATGGATTGGCTCCCCTGATTGTAAAGCCCAGGGGTAATTTTGGCTTTTTTCTTTGTTATGCTGGATCTAGGTGCTCAAACAATGTTCTCAGCCTCTGTCTGTGGACTCTCAGGAATGTTGGCTTCCTTCTCAGGCAGAGTCTCATGTGTTCATCTTCAACCTTCCTCCTTATGGAGTAGGGGATAAGAAAGCTGTGATTGCTGACACACTGGGATATGTGAGCGCCCACTCTTAAACTGTTGGGTAAAGAAAAATTGGATTCCCCTAAGGAAGTTAGTGTTTTCACTAGAAGAAGTAGGAATTGATGCAGGGCGGGAATAGGTGTTTGCACACCACTCTTCATCTGCGCTGAAAGCAGACAGATGATGGAGTTTGTTTCCCCTTTTTCTACCCATTCCATTTCTTCTTCTTCCCCTGCCCAGATACAGAGAGGTGAATGGGATGGGCCAAAATAGATATTTCAGAATAAGAAGGTGTGTACCTAAACACTGGGTACTCATGGGCATAAAGATGGAAACAAGACACTAGAGCTTCTAGAGAGGGGAGAGAGGGAGACAAGGGTTGAAAAACTGTTAGGTACTATGCTCACTACCTGTGTGATGAAATCATTTATATTCTAAATTTCAGTATCACATGATATACCTATGGAACAGACCTGCACATGTGCTCCTTGAATTAAATAGAAGTTACATTTAAAAATTATATTTAAAATTATATTTAAAAATTTAAAAAGCTTTGGAGAAGAGAGAGATCTTATTCCAAACAATTATTGGTCAAACAATAATTTTAGCCCGCTGAAAGAATGTAAGAGAATACTGACATAATAAATGTTGCCATTTAGATATCAGGTAATGAAGTTTATTTTGTTGTTAAGCTCTCTGTTTTTGCCCCTGTTCTGTTTAAAATGAGAATTTTTGTGTTCAGGAAACTAAAGGATGAGTGTTATGTAGCAGACCCATAAGATTATTTTCATGAAAATCTTGTTTGGGCTGATCTGAAAGATTCCTCAATAACAATCTTTTGTCTCTTATCCTTTCTTCTCCATTTGCCTAAGAATATAATTGCATAAGCTAAATGTTTGTTCCCTGTTTGGCCATCATTTCTATATAGGAATCAATGTCTGGAAGAACTCTATAAACCATACAAAGCAGAAAGTCATCCATTTTTTTTCTTTGTTTTTATTTACTACCCCACTTGATTTCACTTTTTGTATCTATGTATTGCCCCATATTAAGTCAGGTATGCATATGTCATAGAGGTCTGCCTCTTGTTTTCATCTTCTTTGCCTTACATATTACTTGTCTTTTATCCTATTAGAGGAAGACGATCTATGCTTAAAGCCATTGTTATTTTTGATAATTATATAATACCAACATGCTGTGTCTATAGTTCCCATTTATTGACTCAGCTAATATTTCTGAGTATCTGCAGCATGCCAAGGACTGGGCAAGGCATGGAGGATACAAGAGATTGAGGTGGCTCCTATCCCTGCAGTGAAATGATATGAAATAAGCAAGGGACCAAAAGAGAAAGTAATGAGACTAGAGTGACTGTCAGTACGGCCCGCTACTCCCTCCATCTAGAACGTGCTCCCGCTCTGTGTGGTGGGCTGCCTTTGTCTCTCCCATGGGACCCAACCCAGTCATCACCTCTGCAGTCAGACGTCTCTGACCCTCCCAAGTGGCTGCACTTGGCACACTTCTGTTATCACACTCATCATCTTGCCTCATTCCTAGACTTTGCTGCCAGACTACGAGTTATCTCCAGCACCTGTCCTAGTAACTGACACTAATAGGCATTCAATGTTTGTTTATTGAATGGCGAATATACAAAACAAATTATCTAAAAATATTTAAGGTCTGTATATACTGTTGAAGAATATTAGGAAGAAGAAAGCTGTGTGTGTGTGTTTTTAAAGAACCCAAAAGATTGTTCAATAATTGCAGTGTTTTAACTTCCTTGGGAGTTGCCTGTAACTGTGTTTATGTTGCTGTGTGTACATGTGCAAGAGGTGGGCAGGGAGGGAATTTAAAGATTTTTTTAGAAGAAAATAAAAGGTAAATTTTTGGAAAAATACTTATTATCTCATTTAATTCTTAAAGCCCTTCCAAGGGGTCCTGTTTTGTCCTCTTTCTGCATTTGTGGAAACCAAAAAGTGTAGTTGTTTCCACTGACATGGAGTTCAAATGGAATTCAAAGACATACTCTTGTCCCAGGTGCCCAAACTCTTACACACTATGTTGAGTTGCATGCCCTTTAATTGCGTTTTTTATGAATCCTCTCTCTTCGGTGTTTGTGGAGTCCCTTCATTGGTGCTGAAACCAGGCTCTTGGGAACCTTACTGCCAGTGTTTAATTCTCTTGTAATTTATGTCTGTTTGAAATCTGTCTGTCCATCTTACGTTACGTAAAGATGCTTTGAATCTGGAATGGCTCTTACTGCATATCATGGGGTAGCTCTGAGTATCTGGTAGTCTCAGAATTTTGATAAGTTCTGGGACTGCTGTTGGTAAACTAAGAAGGCTCTGTGTTCACTAATTATATAAGCCAGGAGCAACAATGAGGATTAGCATGGTTACCTAGTAAGCATACCTTTCTGGCGTATTGATTTTCAGAATATTTCTCAAATTTCATGTACCTGTGAGCCTTAATCTGGGGGTAAATTGATTTATACTGCTAGACTACTTGCAATTGAAACAGTACCACTTCTGAGCAATTACTCTTCACAGATAACCATAGCCAGAGTAACCCGGATTGGTATGGATATATTTTCCTTCATCCATACACCTTTGAATTAGTAAACCAAAGATTAAAATATTAATTTAAAAAAAACTTTTTAGCTTTTTATGGGCTTTGTGTATGAAATTCTGTGAAACAAAATAAGTTTATAATTGTTCCCCAGGTTTTGTTGAGGGAGTGGCTTCCTTCTAACTCTCATGAGAAGTAAATACTTCGTGTTCCCTCAAGTCACAGCCCTTGGATCCAGCATCCAGGGCCTTTCTGAAATGCACACCTCTCCTGGTGCCTCAGCCACCTTTCTTCTCCTTGGCATCAAATATGTTCCTGTTGAGGAATTTTGTACAGTCACATGCCACATGATAATGTTTTGGTTAAGGGTGGACTGCATGTATGATGGTGGTCCCATAAGATCATAGTACCATATTTATACGGTATCTTTTCTGTGTTTAGATACACAAATACTTTGTGTTACAGTTGTCTGCTATATTCGGTACAGTACATGCTGTACAGTTGTGTAGCCTGGGACCAATAGGATATGGCATATTATCTAGGTGTGTGGCAGGCTATACCCTCTAAGTTTGCCTAGGCACACCGTAATGTTCCCACAATGGTGAAATTTCCTAATGGCACATTTCAACAAACATTTCTCAGAATGTATCCCTGTCATTAAGCAACACATGACTGTACTTGCTGTTCCCTACCTGAAACACACATGAAACTTACATAGCCACAGTCCTGATTCCCTTCAGGGTCTGTTCACATGTTATCAGTGAGTCCTTCTGCCAAAGTATTACGAATAGTTCCCACCCTCACTTTTCCCTAATGTTCACCCTGTTCCATGTCTTTCCTGTACCTCTGTCCCCATCCAATATACTCTAAATAGTTCATGTTTCTTATTTTTATTTTTTTGATATGGAGTCTCACTCTTGTCTCCCAGGCTCTAGTGCAGTGGTGCCATCTCAGCTCACCACGACCTCTGCTACCCGGGTTCAAGTAATTCTCTTGCCTCAGCCTCCTGAGTAGCCTGGATTACATGTGTGTGCCACCACACCTGGCTAATTTTTTGTGTGTATTTTTAGTAGAGACGGGGTTTCACCATGTCGGCCAGGCTGATCTCGGCCCTTGTGATCTGTCTGCCTTGGCCTCCCAAAGTGCTGGATTACAGGTGTGAGCCACCAAACCTGGCCCATGTTTCTTATTTTTTTAAATTGCTCTCTCCCCTGGAAGGTAGGTATGTTGTTCTCATTTACTATAGAATAGTTCCTTAAATTAAGGTGCATCTGATGTGCCAAAGAACTAAAACCAAGGTATGTTTTAAGGGAATTAGTGTATTTTCCAAATCATGTTGTGGCCATTGCTGTGGTCTGGCAGTTTCTATTCACCCTATAATGACTGGAAGGCAGCAGTGGACACCCTGTTCCTCTTGCCAGCGAAGGAATGGAAGTGGGCCCCAGTCCTGATGATAAACACTGAAAGGGAAGACTGTCAGTAGCCTCTGGAAAAGATTTCCTCGAGCCTAAGAAAGAAACAGAGCAAGAGATGGTCCTTTTGCTTCTGGGCATCGCCTTGTCTGAAAAAGAAGCTTGCAGCTTGGGAGCTCTGATTGCCAGCCTGAGAATGAAGCTTGGCCTGTGAGCCAGCCACCCGCCTACAAACTTCATGTTTAGTTAGATGATAAATTTCCTTCCTGCTCAACCATTGTAAGCTGGCATTTTGTTAAATGCAGCCCCAGGAACATCAGAACTGACACATCTCATGTCATAACCTAATTTTGAATATTTATTTCATTGTTACATCATTGCCACTTGTACCTCATAATAAATCCATTTCGAAAACCTTTCCTTTGACTGAATTGTGCTTATAAGCATTTACTTTTCTTGATTCATTGTTGCTTGCTTTTTTTTCTCAAATTTTAGAACTAAAATGAGTTTGGGTTGCAAAAAAAGTTTTTTTGGAAATCCTGAAATAAAAGCTTGTTGGGCAAATTCTTCCATATGGGTTGTTAAAGCAATTATACTCTAGAATGTGTTTTTGTTAAGTTTTAAAAAGTTTATAAAAGTCTAGAGGAGGAGATATACCAATATGATCTCAGCTTCTTTGAAGTTTACAATATAGTTTATTTTTGTGCTGATTTCATCTCCGGAAATAGCTATGACCAGGTATTCATGATTTTATGATTTACCTGCCACTTTGGACAGGGCAAAAAAACCTCAGTATTTTTTGCAATGTGCTTTTGCTTTTTCCTGTTCTTCTTATGTTTTGAAATTTCAATTTTAGAGACAAATAAGTTCAGGTTGAGTTAAAGAAAGCTGACTCGGGGGCATTGTATGTCACAATATTGGTATACTAGTGGTAGTTGAACACTTAGCATTAGAATTTTTTTTTTTCAAATGAAACTTCAAAATCATTAAGAATGGGGTTTTTAGGCAATTTAAATCTTTATTGGGAAAATATTTCATTGCTTGTATAACACATGGAACCTAGTTTGAGAGCCTGCTACAAGTGGGGTTAGTGAAAGATGACCCTGTAATTTTTCATTCATTCAGTTAGTTTTGAGAGTGAAATAATTCCAGGACAGCAGACATCAACTGGGAGTGTCTCAGGCAAACTAGACTTATGGCACTGAAATGGTGGATGCTAGAGCAGAAATGTGGATCTCTGGTACATTGGAGTAGAGAAATACTGATCCCAGAAATGCTGATGTGAGCACTCAGCTACTGGAGTACAGCTAAGAAGACCTGGCCCTGCAGGGAATCTCCACAGTCATTTAGACTTAGCAGAGTAGTCACACCACTGGGTGTATTCAGCCCTTCAGCAAGTGTTCATTGAGCAATTGCTATGTGCCAGGTGTTAGCTGACATGCTGACAGTGCAAAGATAAATTACTTGATTCTTATGATTCTTAAGCTTTTTCCTATTCATGCAGCAGAACTTGGCAATGAATCATTCCATACCTGTTCCATTAACAGTTGAGGGAAGTAAAAATGATTCTTTAAATAGGAAAAGGGTGGGCAGCCCTAAATTTGAATTTGAAATGTGATGTCCTTTATGTGGCCTTCATCTCTACGCACTACTCCCTGAACTTGAACTACAGTTAAGACCTGTGTATAATCCCTGTGCAATATCTTACAGTTAGAGATAACTTAGGTGTAGAATACAGCTAACTGTATGTGTTGGTGTCAGATGTACTGGTGGTCAGTTGTATGTGGAAGTCGTGTTGCAAATGGTAACTAGAGGAAATGTAGGTGATGCGGCAGGGTCGTGTGTTTCTGTCTCTGATTCTTTTAAGATTTGGGAAGAGGAACGTGTATGTTTTTGTCAATAAGAGAAAAATGAAGAGACATAGAAAAAGCAGTGAAAAGGAAAAATAATAAAAATGCATTGAAATGAGACCACACTAGTGTGCGTACATGAGCTGCACAGAGCTGCTTAAGATTAGAACACTGCTTCTCATGTCACCTTGACCTTCCTGCCGCCCGCAGGCTGTCCATGCACAGAGCATTCCCTTTATTGACAATGCTTGGTAGGAGATTCTGAATGAGGTGAGGAGGAGTCCAGGATCAGCAAACAGAATCTTCGAACTCTTGAGTTTACCTGTTTTCTAAATAGTTGTATTTAACTGAGGACCTATTTTAATGTTCCACATGTATAATATCAAATAACTTCAAATAACTAACTTAATATAATATATTTTAGACTGCTCTTCACTTTAAAATTAGTTTTCATGTTAATTTACCCTGATATCTTATTTTCCTTAGGACTTATAAAAGGAAGAAGAATCTTTAAATTTTCATGTATTTTAGCTGTTGTAGAATGATATGATTACCTGTAGGGGTTTCCTTTAGAAGATTATAAATAGATATGTATGATTTCTTTTCCTTTTTAACTATTTTTCGAGTAGAATAAATAAATATATCAGTGAAAGCATGGAGTGTACCTGAATAACAAAAAGTTCAAGTCCTTCTTAGTTGCCTCATTGCTGAATTCAAACTTCAGAACTTAAGAATTAATTAATCACTTGTGAACACAAAAGGAGCTTGAACTCATACTGAACTTTGGCAGGTTTAGACATGACTATTTTAGAGAATCATGGAAATTTAAACAAAGATTTTGTTTTAATTTGAAGTGAAAAGCTAACTTAGACAAAGAGATGTTAAAGGCTCTTGTGAAGTTGAAGAGCAAACTATTTTCCTATGTCAATTTTTAAGCACATAATTCTAGAAACTATTAGTTACTTGCACTGTTGATTAAATGTTTGAGAATATTATTTTTTCTGGTTTAATATGTCAGAAAACCCCACAAAAACACAAGTTAACTTTGTGAATAAAAAAATGCAGGACTTAAAGAGAGATCTACTTCAGAGCCCGCAGTCCCACCAGAAGAGGCTGAGCCACACGCTGAGCCTGAGGAGCAGGCTCCCATGGAGGCAGGTAAGCTTGTCCTCATCCTTGAGTCTCGCCCAGGTGTGCCGGAGCCTGACAGGTGTCCTCGTTTACAGAATCATGTTTTACCTGGAATTTGTTTCACATAGTTTACAGGATAATTAACTACTACCTTTTCTCTTCTGAAATTATATAGTAAACTTACTTTTTTCTAGTAGAAATTGGCACAGGATAATTTTAATTTTTAAGATCTAAGGTAGACAGTTGTTCTTTGTCCAAGACCACACAGGAACATCATGAACTGAAATGTTGTTTCTTGATTCCAATTCTAGCACTATTGTACTATATTACTTTAAAGTAAGAATACACACAATTTCACACTAGTGTTATCATTTGTCATGTGATTTAATAGAATCGATCTAGTGGTTTCTCAGTCTTTTTTATATAAAGGTCTTTGTCTTAAAAGACTTCCCAAAACTCCCTGCGGTCATCTATGGAGCTTGGTTTGTGTCTACATGGATTCACAAATCAAGCATCTGTGTAATTACCCCAAAGCCTATGACCTATAGGTAGGAAAGTCATGAACTATTTTAATAAATTAGTAAATCTAACAGTCTCTAAAACTCTGGTTTTCTCATGCCACCTATTGGAAATGTAAGGAACGACACCACATATTTACTGAAAACTCAAGTGCTGGATCCAAGTGGTACTTCAGCTGATATTTCCCCCCATGTTCTGAGGAATAATATTTCATTCTTCTTCCTTTAAGGCCAATATGCTGCTTCGAGTTTTGTTTGTTGTTGAGTTTTTAATCCTAGGACAATGTACTCTCTCTCATTCCTGTAGAATTGCTATGATTATATCATAGCTCCAGAACAGAGAGTAACTTTTAAAAAGTTTTATAATGTGTGTTTGGATATAGCATCTCACATTTCACTTTGTACTAAAAGCCTCTCTTGACCCCCACTTTTTTTATTTGCCACCTAATCCCTCTCCCCTCTAAAATAGCCACACTTTTGAAAGAAGAATCCACAATTACTTTTCTACCTTATTTTTCTTTCATTGTTTTAACCCTTTTCACTCTGACTTCTGCCTCCACCAGTCCCCTCCTGAGGAGGGAAGGAATATTTGCAAAATCATGGAAAGTTGAAATGTCCTGGAGTCCTAAGTGCAAAGCCAGTGCTGGTAGCAGATGATCCTGGAGAAGTGTGTGAGGGCTCAGTTGTGGAGGTATTATATTCTGCTCCTAGGAACTGAGACTTTCACCTATATGGGCAAAGGAAACCATTAAAGAGTGAGCAGAATTCACCACCCTCCACTTCTAATAACTCAAATTATATTCTCTTTGGATGGTGATTTCAGCAGTTACGAGCCTGGGAATCCAGTTGGGAAGCTATCTTAGGCTTTGTGAGAGAGGATGGCAATTGACAGACTATAATTGCACAAGACTGCATATATAAATGGCTTGTGAAATAGAAACATCTATTAAAAATAGGCATTTTTATGCTTTGGAAATGATTTTGTAGTGTGATTAGCATAATATACATTACATTTAAACGTTTCCCTTCCTGAAGTCTAAATTAACTTACTTATTCTGTTTTTGTCATGAAAGATTAGCTCTTTGACATAACTGACGTCACTGGCATTATCTCACATGACAGCATTTACGATACCAAGTACAGTGCTACGTTTATTCACTGAACATAGATTATGTTACTAGAGAACTTGTAACCGTATCAGTGTAGTTATAGCTTCTTGTTTATTGTGTGATGTTGCAGTTAGACCTGATAATCTCATAAGCACCACAGTGTTTTTGGAATGTCATCATAATGTTCACTTTTGTGATTTACCTTATTTGAATCTATGGCTCTCAATGTCAGATATTGTTCTCCAAAGCTGAAAGGATTGTTAGTTACAATGTAAGGTTTTCTACCGACACTTCCTGACAAACCTGAGTGAAAGCAGTGGGCCATCTCTGAGTACTCAGTCCTCACACCTGCAAGAGCGCACTTTCTCCTGTCAGGGAAGATAGGTACTGATTGACCAGATACATCAATCTGTATTGACCTTGTCTTCCACATTTCTGTCTTTATTTCCAGTTATTTCTCTTTATGAAAGCTTTGTTCTTCCCACTTTATCATTATTGCAAATTTTAATTAATTAACAACTGAAGTCATTTTGCTTTTAATAAGGCTTTTTGTTTAAATAAAAATCTGAACCTGAGTTAGTTTTCTTTCTTTGAAAACCTTATTGAAAGTCTTTTAACACAATAGTCTGTTGACAGAATAAACAAATTTTACATATCTACCATGTTTTCCAACACAGAACAAAAACGTGTTAAGCTGACAGAGAAATAATGCATAGTTGCTTAGTCAAATGTGTTCATTTTAATGTGTGTGCACCAATGTCATATTTGAGCATTAGGAGTTCCATATAAATGTTTGAACTTTTCTACTTAG